CAATTAGCCAGTCCTTATGTATTACCGCTGGTGACTTTAATCGCTTTGATACCCCTTTCTAATCACTCTAGGCCTAGAGAACATTGTCAATTTTCCTAACCGTACCAATGCCTTTCTTGATGGGATTTATATAAATAGTCCAAATGTGTTTCACGTTTTTAAACGAGCCGCAATTAGTACTTCTGACCACTGCACCATTCTTCTTTACCCCAAAATATATTGTAAAACTAATCAATGCCTTCATACACGACCCATTTAACGTTCGCTGCGGAAGAGAAATTATTCTCCTGAGAACTTGTCCCGACTGCGGGACTTAGTTTCTTCTGCTGACATTTCTGTGTTCTTCCGTAACCAGCTGTCATCTTCCTATGAACACCTTACCGATTATCTTAATTTCTGTTATGACCAATGTTGTCCTGTTGAAACTATTTATATTCGAACCGATAGGTTTTCCTCCTCCCTTCTTAAACGACTTCGTCGTGCTAAAGAAACGGCATATATGGCCGGCAGGCGTAAGTGTCAAACAGCTCTCCGTTCGGATTAGAACAGAAGTAAGACGACTTAACCGAATGTACGTTGAGACAGTTTTGGACAACAAAAACTTCCGTGAGATGCGGACAACCTTCCGGAAACTCCGTGGCTCACGCATCAGTTCTTGTCCCAACGTTGAGGTACTTAATCGTCCAGCATCCAGCTCCCTCCCACCTCCTTTTCCCACCCACGATGAAAATAACCTTGTTTCTCCGGACGAGGTCCTCCAAGTTTTGAGGAGAATCAAGGTCATACATCGTAGAATACAAGGTTATTGGTAAAATTTAAGGTGGACAGGGATTGGATCTATTTGGAGGAAGGGAGAAGAACATGAGCCACTATGGTCAACACACAGAGTATGTAATCGAACTCTGCATACATACCGTTTCAAGCATTCTGGCCTGATGAGAAACGACAACAAGAACACCACTGCTACCGGTTCGCTGCCATATCCTTCAATGCCTCCAACCAACCAGTTGTTGAGTCCTTCGGACCTCAACCTGGAAGACGAGAGACACCTACTCTACCTAGTGGCGCTGTGCATTTCTTCATACCTCGTCTCCATGACATCTGTTGACCTCCACGTGGTATCCTCCAGCCTGCATTAGCTACAGCGAATAAAGCGTGGTGCGGCAAACGATGACTGGACATACGCAATACGTGCCCTAGCCAGCGAAGCCTAGCAATCTGAATTCGGTGTGTTAGCAGGTTTATACCTGACAGACTCTCAAACATACGACGTTACTAACCCGTTCAATCCATCCAACGTGGGCTAAACTGCGTAACCACTGATAATCGAAAACTTCTAGTCGACGGATATCTTCTACTCGCAAATTCAGGGTCTCACAACCATAAAGCAGGACTGAACGAACGCTAGCACAATATACACGACCTTTCAACTTCA